GGATTATCTAAATCAACATCATGAAATATAATGTATATGAATTGTTAAATATCTATTTTCTTTGTTATCTTTCACTCACATTGTATTAAAAGATTTTTTTAAAAAAGAATTCTTACTCTTTAATTACATACAATTAAAGTCTCTGTACAATTATTTTAATAAGATATTCTTTTTATAGCTTAGATCAAGGTAAAAAAACTCATTCCTCAGGATTCCACAATGCCACTTACCAACATTTCTCACATTCTTCCTTCTCCCCTTTGGCTACTATACTTGATTTTATTCTCATTCCAAATGCCAATACTACTCTACATAGGAAAGCACCTGGTGGAAGATACAAAACCTAGGATATCCTTACAAATATAAAAACCTAATCAGCTTTTTCGAAGATGGCGCCAAAAGCGAAGAAGGAAGCCCTTGCCCCTCCCAAAACTGAAACCAAAGCAAAGGCATTAAAGGCCAAGAAGGCAGTACTGAAGGGCGTCCACAGACAAAAAAAAAAAAGAAGATCCGCACGTGACCCACCTTCCGGCGGCCTAAGACGCTGAGACTCTGAAGGCAGCCCAGATACCCCCGGAAGAGCGCCCCCAGGAGAAACAAGCTTGACCACTATGCCATCATCAAATTTTCCCTGACCACTGAGTCAGCCATGAAGAAGATAGAAGATAACAACACACTTGTGTTCATTGTGGATGTCAAGGCCAACAAGCACCAAATTAAACAAGCTGTAAAGAAGCTCTATGACATTGATGTGGCTAAGGTCAACACTTTGATTAGTCCTGATGGAGAGAAGAAGGCCTATGTTCGACTTGCTCCTGATTATGATGCTTTGGATGTTGCCAACAAAATTGGGATCATCTAAACTGAGTCCAGCAGGCTAATTCTAAATACAAATTTTTCTCACCAAAAACAAAATAAAACAAAACAAAACAAACCTAATCAATGGTTGGAGAACACTGTTCTTAGTGCCAATTTATTTTATCAATACAAATAAGAGACACATTTGCATGAAGAATAAGACTTGCCTATGGTTCACCATAAATACAAACAAAAACCAGTTTTAGGAATCCAGGGACTTGACAGTGTGTCAGGTGTAAACTGCAATTGAGTCAATTTCAACTGTAGTACTCAAGACTCCTCTGATGCCGGGCTGAGGACCTAACACCATTGCTTACTTTCCTATACTGTTTGCTGCTGAGGTTAAAGGCATTGTCTTTTAGTCTTGCTTTTTCCAAGTTTATTCTCTCTCAACAAATGGGCTTGATGGGTTGCCAAAGGGTTCTGCAGGTCAGACTGACTCAGTTAAACTATCACTCACTCTTCGAGACTTTAAATTGCTGTCACGCAAAAATAAACCTTGCCTATAAACTGATTGTTGACACTTGTAGACTTGTCTATTTCACCCCCCCTTCCCAGTGAATAACATTTAGATAGGATATAATTGCTCATCAAAGAAAATTTTCTTTCAGAATAACATATATGAAGTTTGCAGTCTATAGGAAGACTAAATTGAAGACTCTCTGTTTTCTTCTCATATTTCAAACAGAAGTGGCAATTTCTGCTGGAGAAAACCAAATACAAAGACAATGTAAAAATATTAGAAGTAAAACAAAGTAGTCTGAGTGGGAAACATAAAATGCAGTGTCTTCAGTCTAGAGTTGCCGCATCTTGTGGCCGTTCTTTGGAGCATACTGGAGCATATCCACAATATGACCATTTCTACCACCTGTGTCTCACAGCAGCTAGCCTGCAGTGACAGCCTTAATTGGCTATTGTTCCCTGAATCTGAAAAGCACATTCTAACCTGAGTGTCTTTTTACTCTTACCATCTCCTCTGCCAACAATGCTCATCCCTATACACTCACAGACCTTGATCATACTGCATTTCTGTCCAAACACCATATTTAAATGGCTGATCCTGACCCCTGTATGCGGAATACTAACTTCTTCTCCTATTCTTAATCCTTCTTTGTGCCTCTTTCTAGTATTTATTGCTATCTAGCAAGACTTGTATTTACTTATTATTAGTACACTCTACTAGAACACAGACTTCTGAGAATGAGAAAATGTTAATTATGTTGTTTACTGTTGTCATCTCTGTTACTCAAATAATGCCTGGCATATATATTCAATAAATATCTGCTGGATGATATTTACCTGTTAACCATTCAAGTTAAATAACAATAAAGGGCAACAGCAAAGTAATAATTTAAGATAGTTTATAATAGTTATTTGAAAAATATGAGTCAGGAATACAGGCTGCCTCCAGATTATGAATGAGATCAAAGCCTAAATTTTTCTTCCACTCAGATGTCAAAGACTGGTCCCTCCTGGCCCAAAGTATGTAAGACAGAGTGTCAAAATCCTAGCCTCCAAAAAGAACCTTGGTTTCACCCTCTCCAAGACAGATATATGTGTTTTCTTGGCAGTCCATGATCTGGTCAAGATTCTTTTCCAGCACCACAACTTAAAGGCATCAGTTCTTCTTCTGTCATCCTTTGTCATTGTCTAGCTCTGATGCCTAGCAAGTAATTGCAAAGACCATGGCCTGGATCAGGTGCATCTTAGTCTCCAGACTTTAGCATCAGTCAAATATTGTCTTAGTACATGGTATATATTTTACCTTTAAAACACGTGAAAAGCACTTCCAAAGTCATCAAAGCATCTTAAATATAGTAATACAGTACACAAGTTCCTAGGTTTCTCACATCTAACTTACAGATGTTATTTCCACCTCAGTTTCAGTTGTGATTGTTCTACTTTCCTCTGATGCATCATCAGCACTTTCACTAAATGTATACTTTGACAGCACAGCTTCAAAACCAAAACCCCAATGTCATCACATGGATTCAGACTCAGAGTGATTCTTTAGGACACAGTGGAACTGCCATAGAGGTGTGAGGGCTGTAAACCTGCATAAGCAGCCCATCTTACCCTGCTGGAGCTGTTGTTGGCAGGTCTGAACCACCAACCTTTCAATTAGCTATTGAGCTCTTTAACTACTGGGGTCAGAGTTACAAAGGTAAAGAAGACAAAAATTTAAGCTACATGCAAAATTATACACAACACAGTGTTAAACAGCAGCCATATAATGCTTCTTGATGGTCATAAAGTGGTGCTTTGTTAGTTATTATGAACCGTAACTCAAATTTTAAAAAATAAACATTTTATGGCAGTCCCTCCTTAAGAGTTGTTCATAAATCAGATGTTCTTAGCCTGGGACTTACTGTACCCCAAATCATAGTCGTCGTTGTCATCGTCGTCGTCATCATCATCATCATCATCCTAACACATCACCTGGGGAGTTTTTTAAAAATACACATGGCCAGACCTTACCACAGGACTCACCAAATCTCCCCTGGTGGGATCCTGACAATTCCTATTTTTGAAAAGTTTTTCAGGTGGTTCTGTGTTGCACCATTTTTAAACTACTGGCATAACAGTATATTAGTTCAGGAGAAGGAAAGTGAAGGTGTTTTGCTTAAAAAAACAACCAACCAGCCAAACACCCCAAAATGGATGTCATGTTAGAAAAGCAAGGACTCTGGAGTTGAAAGTCAAATTTAGGTGGGAGACTGAGAAAGTTACTGAACCTCTCAACTTCCACATGCATTAATGGAGATAAGCTTTTCAGCCTCTCTTCCTCCCCACAGTGACTCCAAACTATTCAAAAAGTATTGTAAAACTAAAATGAAAACAAGTATATAAAGTACATATTTTGGTGATTAAATAACATAATTGGAATTAGTTTCATAGAAAAAATATTATTGGCAGAAATGTAAAAAATATGTGTAATCCTAGCCTAAGTGACTATAAAAAAAAAAACAACCAACCCACCACAAAACACCTCTTCTTTTTTCTGATGAGATGAGATGGGGACAAAAATGTCTAGAAGTTTCAGAGCTGTATTAGGACAGTAATTCTCAAACCAGGGAACTCTGGTAGCCTCCTGGTAAGGAGTTGTGCTGCTAACACCAAAGCAGATAGGTTGAATCCACCTGCCGCTCTGCAAGAGAAAGAATGGCGCTCTTCTGTGTGACTCAGAGCCTCCAAAAATCCTCTGGAGGTTTAGTTATGAGCTGATGGCACACCACAACAACATTGACAACTTTCAAACCTAGAGAGCTCATAGTGGTGAGGATGGGTGGGGTGTGCGGATAAGGCGTCAATCAGAGGGCTGCACAATTTGATGGGTTGGAGTGGATGGGGGAAGGAAATGGGAAAGACCGGGTGTGAAAAAAAATGTATATGAACTTTGTAAATAAAGCAATATAAAAGAAAAAGAAATAAATAAAATAGAATAGATTGCTAGACACACTCTTGTAATTGCTGTTGCAAGCAAGCCTTGTGTCGATGATTGTTGCCTTTGAGTCCATTTTGACTCAACACCACCTCATGTGTGTAGAACAAACTGCTCTGCAGTTTTTAAGTCTGTGACCTTTTAGAAGCAGATTGTTCGCGTCTCTCTCATAAGGTCCCCTGGGCAGGCTTGAACCACCAATCTTTCAGCTAGTAGTTAAGTGCTGAGCCACTGGTGTCACGCAGGGTCTCTGTAAATCTACTGCCTCATCTCAATGCATTGATAATTAGTCAGAACACACTGACAGCTAACCTGCAGGGTCAATTACTGGCATTTTTTAACCTGTTCACAGAAGAAGCTGATGCCTTTGGTCTCGGGACCGTACAATAAGAACTGAATTAAAGTATGCATATCTTAACAAAACTTTTGAGCAGACTAATTCGTTCAATACAATTTTGTAAGTCAAAACCATTAAATAACTAACAGGGGGGAAAAAACCATACCCAGTAATAATGAGGATGCTTTTTAGAACATTTTCTAAATCAGATGAAAGTCAGCCACTAAGACTGAAATAACAAAAGTTTATGCCTTTGGTATTTCAATGACATATCTGAAAACTAAATCAAAGAGGGTAATTCTCCAAACTCAAAAACTGGTCATTTCAAGCACTGCAAGGTGGATGCCTGAAAAGAATACTCACAGGTGTGGAGACATTCTGTCACTGTGGTCGGCTTGATGAGATACCCTTTACAAATATAGCAGGTGATGTAAGGATTGAAATCTTTCACCAAGTGTTTCTTCTGGGTAGCCATTCGTGGTTAACAGAGACTGGCTTTAGTCCAGGTAAATGGGGGTATTAAGTGGAGGGAAGTCTGATCTCAGTAGTTGGTGTGCTGTCCCCAATTGGATGTCCTGAGGTGCGTGAATCCAGACTTCTCACAAGATTGATGATCATCACTCCTTTTGGTCGTTTTGCTTTCCCATATCTGTTTCCACAATAATTTTAAAAAAGAAAAGAAGAAAAAGTGTCAAATTCCTCAGACTGTATTAATTTCATTATAACAAGTAGTAAGTAGGTGAAGAAAACTATTTCCTTCACTTTAATGCTCATTCTTTTGTGAAGCCACTATAACTTAACTCAGAATGGGACACTCCTTCAATTCAAGAGCCTCAACAGTCAGCATTGTGCAAATGACATTCAGCACTCTTAACTCCATAACTTAAACCTTTAACTTTGCAGAAATGCATTTTAACCACCTGCTTGACTTCTCTATCAAGAGTCCCTACCAATACAAGCTAAAGGGTCCAAAATTGAAGTCATCATCTTCCCCATGAAAACATTTCCCATTTCTACCTAATCAGTAGTCAGATCAGTAATGCCCTCTTCCCATTCCTTTCCAAGCCAATCTACTTGCATATTATCTTTCATCTGCAATCCACCTAACATTTTACTGCCAGCTTTATTTTATTCAATCACACTTGATTCCCCTGTACAAAGAATATGAGCAGCTTCTCTTTATAAACAGGAAAAAACCCCAAACACAACTCAGTTGCTGTGGAGTTGGTTCTAATGCACAGAAACCTCAAGGGTTTTCGAGTTGCACTGAGCTCCACAGGGGTTTTGGTGGCTGTGTTCTTTCACAAGCAGATCACCAGACTTCTCTGTTGAGGTGCATCTGGATAGATTTCAGTGGGAAGAAGCTGTGCTGAAATCTCAGAGGCATGCAGTTCCATCCCAGTTCCTTCTCAGGAGAAGGATGGACAATCTCCCATCTGAGTAACTGCCTCTGAAAACTCACTGGAGGGTCAGTTATGGATGAGTTGGTTCGGACCCGCAACAAACTATTCAACAGTTTACCTCCTGAATGCACAGGGACTTCATATGAGCAGGAAAATGTTGAACTTGCTCAGTTTCCTTCCAACACCTTTCTTCAGGCAAAGTGATGGCCCCTCACCCAAGCTCTAAGACCTCTAGCCAAACAAATCCTTGCTTTCCTCTGTCTGGATCCTACCTATCCTTGGAGGTCCATCTCTTAATATGTTCTTCCCTTATAATCACTCCCTATGTATGAACCCTTTTTTTCCTCTCAAGTATCCCTTTCATTTTTATTTAGTTACATTCAGGTCAAAATCCTTGATAAACACCAGTCACATTTCATAGAAGTGAACGTGGGCAATGTTATTTATCCTAATTCTCTGGAGTTCTTTTTTAACTGTAAAAGGGAGTAACAAGAATGACAACTTCCAAGACTTGTTATTGTTGTTAAGTGCCTTCGAGTCACCTGTGACTCATAGCCCTAAACCCTGCTCTATCCAGTGCCAATCTTATTGTCTCTGACACACCTACCCCCATTACTCCAGTCACTGTATCAATCGAGGGTCTTCCTCTCTTGCACTGTCCCTTCACCCACTGGTCCCGCCTTGCAAAACGCCCAAAGTATGCCAGACGAAGCTTCAGAATCTTTGACTCCAAGGAGAGCCTGGTCTCACCCTCTCTAGGACGAATCTATTTGTTCTCCTAGCAGTCCATGGTATGTATATTCAATACTCTTCTCCAACACCACAGCTCAAACGCATCAATTCTCCTTCCATCCTCCCTAGAGTGGTGAGGACTAAATGAGAATGTATAAATAAAGCTGTCATTGCTCAGTCAATTCTGGTTCATGGGACCCTTACGACGTACAGAGTATAACAGTTTCCAAGGATGTCACCTACAGAAGCAAAGAAAGCCAGGCCTGTCTTCCGAGGCGTCTCCATGTGCATTCCAATGGCCAAAGTAGCCCAGAGCATTCAAAACAATACATGCCATTCGTTTCTTTTTTAAAATGAACCATCTAATTTGCATAGACAGTGACTGACGGGGAAACAAACTTAAACGCTTGTTCATAGGTCCTCTCACAACGCCCTCCTTCCAGAGGCGCTGGTTTTTCAAAGCATTTGCTAAATGGGAACTTTCCTCCTATTTCGCAGGGAAGAATCAAATTAACTGGATGAGTAAAAGGCTACCTTCCAGCCAAAGTGTCGCCACTGAGAAAGTGCACATTTGGAACGGAATAGGCGCTACCTGTCACCAGCCGCCTCCTCGGGAAATCGTGACCCACAGCAGTTAATGATGGGGTGTGGATGGGCCGCTGGCCCAGCATGAGCTCCAACAAGGCGTTTACCATGCACGCCTGGGGCTCAGCTTTCTCCTTCTGAGCACTGGGTCCTCTGCCCTGTCCTCCCTCTAAGGGCTTTTCACAAATCACTCAAGTCCCCGAAAGTACGAGGGAATGCGCGGTCCGAGGAGAGGGAGTATGACAACCCTGAAAGGTCAGCCCGTTGCCCAGGTGGCTAAAGCAGCTCTAACTCCCTGCCGCAAAACTAGGGGCCGGCGTGGAGCGGCGGGCACCTCGGCGGGAGGAACTTTTCCGCGTCCTCCGGCGGCTCCGGCCCCCGAGCGCCACCCAGCGAGTCGGCCTGGCGCCGGGCAGGTGCTCCGGCTCGCGCTCCGCGGACATGCCGCCGGCCCGCGGGGCTGCTCCGGGCAGGACTCGCTGCTCGCTCCGCTCCGCGGGACGCGGGCACCACCGAGGGGAGGACGGGCGAGGGGAGGGCGGGGCCCGAAGCCCCCGGAGGCCAGATCCGGGTGGGGCCGGCGCCAGCAGGTGCCTGGGGGTGTCCCTCCCGCTGGGGGCGCAAACTTGAGCGGGGAGCACAGGGCCGCCGCGGTCCCGCGCCCAGGCCCGCCCGGTACCTACCCTGCAGCCGCCACCGCTGCTCCAAAGCCGCCAGCGCGCCGGCCCCACAGGGAAGGAAAGTGAAAGAGAAACAGCGCCTGCCTGCCCGCCGAGGCCTGGCCGGTCCCCGCGCCCTGACGGCCCTCCCCCTGCAGGCGGGAGCGCGCCGGCTCTGCGGGGCCACTCGGCTCGGGCCGATAGGGCGCCGCGGGCCTCGGGCCCAGGGCCAGTGCCGCCTCCAAGGGCAACTCCACCCCCTTCCAACCGCCCGGCCGCTGCCC